AAATCATCATCTTTAATATATACTAGAATATTAGAAGATTTATCACCTATCAAGTTTAAGTAAAATTTCAGACTTAAATTCTCATTTGGTACGTTCTTATGCTTAAAAGCCCTTTCTATGGAATCAAAAAAATAAGTTCCATGCTTCACCCTTTTTAGGTACAGAAATCGATAATCCCTGTACAGCTTTCAAAAGCTTGTCTAATCTAATGAAAGTGTATTTTCTACGTTATTACTAGATTCGTTGCTACTTTCAATTTGCATATAAATTAAACGCAATTTTCACAATTTCTTCTGACTTTTTCCTTTCTTCAACCGTAGTATTAAACCGAAAGTTTCTTCAACCGTAAGAAATTCAAAACAAAATCTTTATCTTTCAAATATTCTTTAGAACTTAAAAGCTTATCTTTTAATTCTACAACTTTTAAACTAGAATCGGCTTCTTCACCGAGTTCCTTCAACACCCGAAATCAAATCACTTTTAACTACTCCTTTAAACATATTAGAAGAAATTTTCCTTAAAGTTACAACAAAAATTTCTCACCTTTTCTCCAAAATCCAGTCGGCTTCGTTAGCTCTGGTTCTCGAAAGAGAGCGTGCTGTAATGACCTTGCGGATTAATAAGGCACAATAAGGAAAACGACACCAAAATTTATTAAAAATTAATTTTCAAAGAATAATGAAAAAAAATTAACATTTAAAGAATAAAGGCAAACTCGGAGCACTACCTCACTCCTACAACATAATTAACCTACAACCTGCCTCCTCTGAGGCTAACATGCCACCGTCCTCTATCTTACTTGCTGGGCTCTGCCAGGCAGCTGATTGGCTCACCGCTGCCAGATACATGACACAATGATTGTAGAAAGTGTTCGGTTAATGTGGCCAAATATGACACTGAGTAGGTTTCGAAGTAATTTTGAATGGTTCTACGAAGACAGAAAAATCTATTAAAGTTAGTTAATCTGCTCATTTGTTTCCATTGGTCATTCCTCTAAGTTCCAGCAAGAAAGAATTGGAGAAATGTTTCATGTTTTATCCAACAATTATTATTAAGTTATCGTATAACGATTTGAGGCGTCTTTCAGCTAGTAAGTATCTTTACTAAACACCAAATTTCAATCGTTGCCTTAACTGTGGTGGCGAGTGATCGCTCTTAAGTTGGAAGTAACAGACAACTTAAGATGTGAAATATTAACTTTTTTTTCGTCCACATTTGTCAGTTAAAATTATACAAAACAAAACTTTTTCAACTTTCAGCTGCGTACAGTTTAACTGTCTACGATTAGCAGTATTCGTATTCAAGGTTACAAAATAATGCTTGGATCGGACAACTTAACAAATCGGTGGCCGAAACAACAACAAAAGTCTCCACTGCAAGATATGGGTTATAACTCTTTTAGTTAAAATAAAACCGCTTGCTTATTAAATCTGCATAAACCTTTGAATTGAGCAAGTAGGTGACGAAACGAGGCATTAAAAAAGAGGTGAAAAATAAAATTTAACTTAATTTTTAAGGGTCGGAATGTGTTAAATTGTTTGCGTAATTGGGCGGCTGCGAGCCAAACCGATCCGTCGTCAGTCGCTAAGGACCCATGTAGTGTTCCCACTCCACTTGTTTTTTCAATCGGATTTCAGAGCGAATCTCGTTTTGTAGTCTGCGAAATTGAACATAGATACTGGGATCACGTGTTCTTTGCCAAAGTTTTCGCAGATAGTTTCGCTGCTTAATTTTGTATTTAGTCATAGGCGGGATCCTAGCGCACGGATGATCTTGCCTCTTTCAGTATAGACACCAAATTTTTTATACATCTGTCAATGTCTGCATTGCTGGAAATTTGATAGAGGTAGCTGTACGTTCTAAAATAAACCGAAAATCTTCCCAATTTGCAGAGCCTTGCTCCTGTAATTTTGAGTATCGATTTTGAATATCTAGAGTAATCAAAAGAGGTAGTGATCAGAATCTAAGCCTTGAATCTCTTTAATTTCTCTCCGAAAATATACATTATAAAAAGCAACCAGATATGGAACTGCGGGGGATCTTCTAACTGGGTGATAAGTCGGGGCAGTAGAAGCTATGATATGATCTGTATATGGGAGCTCTGAGCCCGTGAATTTTGTATACCTGTTCCTATTAGAACATTCGGTATGGCGTGAATGATTAGATGATTTGAAATTGTTAAGAGTTAATGAAAGTCACTGACAGGAAAAAAAATTCCTCCCACGAGCAGCTCCTTCAGGAGGAAGGTAAGCCGAAACAATAGTGACGGAAGGAGAATTTTGTATAGAAATTTGGATAATAGTCGCTTCCAAATGTTCAAAATCAGGGGGAGGTATTATGTGATATTTAATCGAACGTTTCACATAGATACAGGTACCAGCACTAGCATGTCTGCCATATGACACCCTGTCAGTCGAGTAAATGTCATAATTCCCAAATCTGGGAGTTCGCCCTGCGATAAAGTGAGTCTCGGGCTAAAACACGTCATGATCGTGTTCTGCAATAAAAACCCGTATTTTATGAATTTTATTATACAAACCATTTACATTCCATGTACAAATGGATAAGGAACTGCTTGCAATACAACTTTTTATATTTTCAGAGTTGAACTTTAGACCGTTATAAGTAGGTTCTGCATAGATATAAGTAGGTTATAAGTAGGAGACATAGGCCGAATGTTTAGCCGAATTACTCCGAAAGTTAAATATAGCTTTCACAGAGATAAAAAGCTCTCATTAAGGCGTCTGCTTGCCTAAGCTTATCTACCACTGCAATCAAGCGGGAGATGTCAATCAAGCATTTTAGAGTGGAGAAGAATATATCGTCCGAGTCGGCACTCTCTGCTGGGGTTACAGTTTTCGATTTAGCTGTAACCGGCAGTGTTGGATGTCTGAAATCACGTCCGAGATCCTTAGTTTTATTCCCTACCGCCGCTGCACAACTCAGCAGGTTAAACACCACTACGGCGAACATGTGTGAGACGTGATTGAACGGTTTTTGCCGTGGAAGTTGTAGAGCCCTGAGTTGGAGCTGCCGAGGCAGCGGCCCTATCCTCAAGCTGGAAAAGAGGACAAGATCTATAGTTGGCTGGGTGTTCACCTCCGCAATTGCAACAAGTAGCAGGAATTTCTGGTTCTCTGGTGCATTCAGAAGCCCAGTGTAGCCCAGAGCATCCCACACAATGGATTTGTAAGGTGTAGACTCCCGATGAGTGGAAGATACCGAAAACATTGCGTAGGGCCTTGCAGCCGCGATAACGCTCAATGCTGACCTCTGTGCCCCACATAGTGTGTGGGGCTTCATCGACAGCAAACAGATGGTCGATGAAGACGTGTCTGAGTACTTGCAAGTAAACAAGCGGCATAGAATGTTCGGAACGTGGCTGTGACAGCCGAACTCACCGTTGCACTTTAAAGGCTAATGGACTCCACTTCATCTTTGATGTCCTCGATTTCAGTTTCAACCGGGAGGCCTCTAATGATCGGCCGGTCCTGCTGTAGATCTAATGCCTGGATTCTAGCCTTTTTCATCCAGCGGGTAACCTTCCGGAACTCAAGTTCGGTTTGAACGAACAATTTTAGGTATGGACCAGTGAGTCTGCTCCAAATATTCGGGGCAATCTCATGCAAAAATGACATTTGCGTCTTCCACTGCTTGCTTGATTTTACGTGAATAGCCGGAATATTATTTGGTTGCTGCGGAAGCGATGGAGACTCTCCTCACATGCTCGCTAAAATGATTACTCGTTTCTCCTCTGTTTACCTCCTGGTTACCAAGGGAAACCGAAACGTCAGCCTTGAAATTTGGCTCTTTGTCAGAGTTCAACAAAGACTCTTTTATTGCCTCGCACTTGTTTCTACTAAGTTTCACCTTTGACCTATGGCCAGTATCAGGATTCACCTTTAACCTTTCACTAGGTGCTTTTGAAGGAGTGGATTTAGCGGCCATACTGGATACATTTGCATTACTAACATTTGAAGTACATTTTCATAATCATTTACAATTTAATATTCTTACTTAGGTCGATAATCAGAGCTTTACCTTGTTTCCTGGAAACTGGGGTAATAAATCTCTCGTTATCAATTTGCTGGCCTTTGCGCATTCGCGCTGAATTTGGCTTACCAACAGAAATACTTTGTTTAGTCTCTCAAGTCTCGCTGCTTCTTTCTCTTTCAATTCAAGCTCTTTAGCTAATCTTTCTTTCTCGATAACATTTAGACAATCATCCCTGGTCAGGGGAAGGTGGAATATCCGAATGTCAAGGTTATTTGCAATCTCTCTATCTTAAAGAAAAGAGTTTTACCAGTACGGTCGAATTGCCCGAAGCAGGGCGGCGTCCAGTGGCGTTGAGGCCAGCTTCATCCATCGATTTTGTCGTATCTCCACATATTATTGTTTCAGTTTGTAAAACGTCACAATTAATCCAGATCTGTCATTACATTGCACTGGGGGAAATAGATCCTATTTTTGATCATTAATAACATCCAATTTTTGAAAGAAATATCCATCGAATTTTCGTTCAAATCACTAAATTCAGTTGAATTTGGCTGAGTCGGCGGGAGCCAGTATGCGACACATCCGACCTCGTTGGCGTCCATTCTCAGAATCCGCTTCTGTTCATAGCCCAATGTCCAGCCTTTCCTGAAATACCTAGAAGGTCCATATTATAAATTAGACTATCTGTCTATGCTAATAAACCACGGGTGAATCAGATTTATTAATTTTATAATAAGTGAATGGTTTCTAGAGTCGAGAAATTTCTTTATCAATTAATGTTTTTCACTAAAACATAGCTCTGAGATTTTAATCTCCTTACGAAACGTAAAACATTTAACTGAATTTAAAATTGAATGGTTTAAAACGTTGCCAAAATAATTTCTCAATTATGCCTTAAAGGCCAAATTCGGATATCATCAGAACTCTGTAATATTAATGATAGCTTGACTGTAGAAACCATAATTTTTCTTACCTAAATGTTCTTAAATTATGTCAATTTTTAATTAAGAACTATTATATTGATGTGTTACCGTACTGTCAAGTCATCTGCGGTTAAGAACTATAATCGCAAATTTCAACGTGTTCAAAAACAAAGTTCCTATTTTTATTTGTTTCTGCAGTTAAAATGTATGTAAAAATATGTTTCTGTTTGTTATTTTTGACTTTCTGATTATTGAGTGTATTTTGTTAAGTGCTCTTCAATTTTATTCTTGAAGTCTGGAATCTAAGTGTTATAATTAAATCTCTGAAAATGTTGGAAATGAACTCTTATCATCTGTCTCATGTGCTCAATCGAATATGTGAAAAGGTTCAGCAGAGTATGGCGAATACGTCTCCCGACTCCGATGATATCGAGTGGAATGTGAACGTCGAAATTCTTTTATTTTATGCTATGATGGGTTCTAAGCCTGTTGGTACGTTTCACATTTTATAACTGAGAGTTACTTTTGTTATATTCTTAAATTTTCAAACAGAATTATTGCATTTCATGTGAGTGTATGTTGTATCTGTTTGCCATATCAAGCCGGTTTTCATAAAATCAGCCTAAAATTGCTTTAAAGTGCACCATTATTTGGAATTATCTTTTGCTTTTTTTATCATTAAATCAATAACTAAAAATGAATTGAAACTGTTTACTGTTAGTTTGTTTGAATTTTTTTCTTTACAGTATTGAGTACCAGAAAGTGATCTGAAACTGTAGTTGAATGAAATGCTTCCTAACTAATTGATTTCAATCATTTAAGCCTCACTTTTCAGAATACAATTTCTTACTACTTTTATTTCTCATTTTAGACATGTAAATTTCTTAGATTTATGTTCTAAATTGTTAACATATTGAAGCAATTAAATTGAAGCCTGTTAGTGGAAGAGTAATGTAATGTAAATGTATTTTTTTTTTCCTTCTCATCTGATTGTAATCACTTGCCTTTTAGTAAGTACTTTTTGTTTTGAAAGAGTAATATTTAATTTTAGGATTTATATAAGATTTTAATTATTTATGTACATTTTTAAGTACATTACTAAAGTTCTATAAGTATTGAAATGAAAATATGTAATATTATGAGATGATATATATTTATAGGAAACTAAAATGTACTTCTATAATTCTGTTTAAAACGGTTTCTTGGAAAATAAGTTATTGAGTATGATTATTATTTTTTGCTCTCTTTTGTATCAGTTTCTGTTTTAAAGTATTAGAACAATAAAATTATCTTCTTAAAAGCAATGAATTCCTTTCACTTCAAATTCATATGGATTGGGAAAATTGTTTGAATTATTTAAAGTGTTTTTGAAGTCATTTTCCCTTAACTGAGATTTTTCTGACTTCAGCAGCCATGCTATTTTTGTTTAATGCCTGATAACATTGTTTTTAAGCTATGAACATTGATTCAAAATGAGCGTATGTGTATGGGATGCATGGTCTTATTAAATGGTGTGCACAACTTTTTTTTATTATTATTTTTATGAGGTGTTAGAGATTATTGTTTGAAATCATTATTTCTTTTCATGAATTTCTTACTAAGAATATATTTCTGTATACTTCTATTTCAACATATATAGGGTATATATGTAAGTTACTTCTAGTTTTAAATTGGTATCTTCATGGTCATATTAACCACATCATTGCCAATGATACAGAAAGTAATATTTATCTTTCATTTTATGTATTCTATATCTTCCATTTTATGCAGCCTACATCTTTCATTTTATATATATATTTCGGTTGATCTTTGGATTATGGTAACTTGGCAGTTTTTTGGCGACCAACTCTGCTACAGCAACCCTCTATTTTTTTTTTCCCCACCGCCATTTTGTCTTCACGAAGTAAAGACATGTTTCTTTTCTTTTTATCTACTGAACACTTTTTCCAACAATCTACTAGCCAAATTACACTTATGCTAGAAATTTTATCTAACAAAACTGCTTAATCATGACAAATATTCACTGCAAAATTGCGAAAAAGTGCACAATACCAAACTCCTTACGCGTTTTTCAGAATAACACATACACATAAACCATGTACACGTCGACTTATTTTTACTTAAAAAAACATCCCAGAATTGCACAAAAATGGCATTGCGCACACTCTTCACTATATCCATGTACACTGCTTTTTTTCTCATAAATTAGAAAAATTTCACGAAAATACGTGACAATTTTCTCAATCTTTAAACCCGGCAAAAGAACATATATGAAAATTACCTGATCGCAAAAAAGTGTTTACCCTTTCCAAATATGAACATTTCCACATATAAAATAAATAAAAGATCCAAAAACTTTTACCTCTAATCATCTATTACATTATACACGTCACCAATGAATTCATACCGCAAGCATTACAAATACTTAGTATCAATATTTAAAAAATTATTGCATGCATGTTTACTTCAACTAAACGTACCAAATTCCTACAAACATAAAATTCACAAAAATAACTATCATTTAATTAAAATATAATTAATTCAAAAACACTAAAATATAAATAAGCACTACATTAAATTAATAAAAATAGCTTACAATCCTAATTACTTTACTAAATCATGCTAATAACATTTTTCCAATAATACCAATTACTTTACTTCCACCTTACATTTAGAACAATACAATAAAATAATATCCTCAATAATTAAAAGGAAGCACTCCGCAGAGAACCTGGTAAATGTAACTCGCCAACTTTGGCGATAATAGTTCTAACTTGGTAACCCTTCGGATTTATCCCATTCGCTTGTGAAGTTTGCACCATTCCTTTGCTTTATTTTGTTGAATTTTTGAAGACTGTCGTTGTTCGCATTTGCAAATTTTATATTATTCTTCTCTATTTATATTATTATTATTATTATTATTATTTTTTTTTTTTTGAATTTTTACAACAATAGATAGAAATATTTTCATAGATAGATCCGGTTCTCGGTTCGGGATGAAAGGAGGGGTGAATGCTAATTTGTACACGGCTGTTCACGTTGTGTTCTTAATTATAACAGCTCTAAGAACCATGAGGTTCAAAGTCTAAAATACTTTGTTTTTCGTAGGCCGCAAAAATTGCATGCGCATTTTAAATAATTAAGTAAGGCTTTTATTTTATTATTGGTTATTGTCATCTAAAATTATGAAATAAAGCAATTTTTATGGCGTAAAATTTTAACAAGATAATATATTGTTAATGCTTTTCTAACATAACTTTCAGAGATGGCAGGTGTGGCATAAATAGATGATTAATTGAAATAAAAAAATATTGATTATCTAAGATGACAAAATAGTTTGATGCATCACCATGGTCATCAAAATTAGCAAACACTGCTGGTGTAAGGATATATTGTGTTCTGTGTTACTGGAATTTAAGACAAATTTTTTCGTATATCACGTTTAACCGGTTATTTCAGTATATTAATACTAATTTATATTTTTTAATGAATTTTTATTTCCGTTATAAACTTATTTTTCTTATACTTAATATATTCTTTTCTGTGCTAACTGAATTTATACAAATTTATTTCATATATCACGTTTAACTAGTTAGTTTTACATCTACAATGCTCATTCTCTGTGAATTTTTACTACCATATGCTTATCTATTGTTTTGTCTGCTAACTTGAATTACATGCACTGAAATCACGTTTACACTATCACATTGCGGCTCGCTCCATCGATGAACCGCGAGCTTTGGCAATAAAATGCAACGCCGCGCCAACGGGTTCTCTGCGATGAAAACCCAATTAAAATAACTTACCTAATCTTGTTCAGAATCTTGCTTCATGGTGGATACCCTTTTTATTGATTCTAAATTAATGAACTATTTTTTCTGCAAATTTTTCCTCCACACTTCCTCCGCTAAATAAAAAGCAAAATTCTCTTTATCATAATGCCTCAGAATGGCGCTTTTTATAGCACTCCACGTGCCCTCTATTGTATTGGTATGTGCACCTGTTTCCGGATCTCTAAAATAATATTTGTGGTTCACAGCAAGATGTTTAAAACCTTCATCTTCCAAACATTCATATGATTTCCAGCAATCAGAGATAATTATAGTACCCGGTAGAATATATTCTTTAATCAAACTTAATAAACAATCTTTACTTCTATCTCAAATAACTTTAAAAAAAACACTTATTACTTCCCTTTTCAATCCCACCGAATACCCATTTTCCTTCCACTCTCCTACCTCTCAGATACTTCCGCTTTCCCAAACTTACTTCATAAATTTCCACAATAACATTCATACCACCAAGCATACCCATATCATTTTCACAATTCCACGCACACTTCCCTAGAAAACGAATTCCAATCAGCTGCAGTACTACTGCTAATTTCTAAATCCGGAAATCCAGTAGTCAACTGGCAGATCTATTCACCCAATAGTAAGAAATCAAATAAAATTTCATTCCATACTCAAACGACTTTCAGCAAACCACGGTACCCTTCCTTGCACTCCGCTTCACAAAATGTCCATTTTCACCAGATTTCTTGCACCGCCGTTCAAACTTATCAGTAATATCCTTCCTTTCACACAATCTCATTTCATTCCCACATTTTTGGACATTCATACTTATCCACAATGAATCCTACACTCGTATGCACCATTCAACCAATTCTTTTGAATTATCAGACAAAATGCATTAAAAATCTTTGAATTCACTTTAGACAGCGCCATACAATCCGAAAAATTAATCAACACTACTTCACACAACACACAATGAAGCTTAATACTGCAGCTAATAGTACTGCAACAGATATTTTTCCAAATTTATCCCCTTTTCCGATTAAAGAACTGTAATTTATTTGTCCATTAATGTCACATGCCATATCTCATGATCTCTCATTTCCCTCACACAAAATAATGCGTAATCGGAACTGAGTACTGCTCACATTATTACCAAAGTCCTAGGTAGTAACCTTTATCGCCTCCAAAATGTCACCAAACACCAGTTACCATATTCCAAAGATCAGCCTCTATTTCATTTATATGTTCAAGTTAAGTTTTCAAAAGTAATAGTTCATCATTTTTGCTAGAGTATTTTTATATGAATAAGTTTTAGGTATTTGCAATGTAATGAAGAACAGCCAAAATTCTTCAAACAAGAGTAAATATTTGACACCATAACAAAATGATCGCTATTGGAAACGTATGACGTTACTAAATTTTAAGAGAGCCTATAAGGCACAATTTTCAGAATGGAATTTTTTCCCCAGAGTTTAAAGTTCAGTCATGGATTTGTGGGATCTACCAAACAATGAAGGTGATGTTATTAGCTTGTTAGAAGAATATAATATATTGAAGAATAACTTTCAGCATTCCAATTTGTACAGAATGAAGTTTTATAAAAGTCAATCGAAGAGCGCATGACAGTGTTCGAAAGACATGGAAAGGATGAGAAGTCAAGTCGGCAACTTGTTTGAAAAATGGCAGAACAAGAAACATGGGGTTACAGAAAGACACACTTGAGGTCATATTTATTAGAACAAATATTATTTGATTTCATATTTATTAGAGTTCACTTTGTGACAGAAAGCTATATCTTAGTGTTAAAACCCTTTTGAAGCTATTTTAGAAGTGATTTCCAAACATTTTCTATCCAAAATAAAGAAAAACTAATTGTATTAAATTACTGCTAAAGTTAGACAACCTGGTACTTGCATATTAATGCAACCACTTTAGAAGAAGTCTCCAAATTTTCAGAATGTGCCAAACTCTGGCAACCATATGCATAACAACTCTTCAGTCAAGCAGCACTGCCACTTTCGTATGCATTCGTTTTTATTGTATTCCAAGTTCCAACAGTTTTTATAAACAAATTGTGATATTTTGTACCTTAAATTTAAAATATGAGCCTGTAGAATATGTTAGTAGTTGAAGAAACTGCAATAAAATTTCTGCATTGTGCTGAAGATTTTCTAAAAGGAGTGATGAGGGAATGTGTTTCCTCGATAGCTGCTGTGCCAAGGTTTGCATGAAGGCGAGCCTCCACAATTCTCTAAATTTTTTAAACAGAAAATTGATTGTTGTATACTTCGGAAGAAGAATAGCACAAAACAAATTACGAAATTTGAAGAAGAATAAAAGTGTTTTATTTAATAATTCAAATTTGCATTTTAAATTGCTAAAGTATATTTTCTTTTCATATGTTGGGAATGTTTATCAACTTATAATAAATATTGATAGTTTGAGAATCTTTCTTTAAAAAAAAAAAAAAAAAAAAAAAAAAAAAAAAAAACCTCCACCAACGTGCTCTCTTTAAGTAAGTTTTACTTTACTGAACAAATTGTGAGATTGTGCCAAGGTGGTTGCTTTAATGTTTAAGAACTGCCAACTGTTCTTCACTAATATACGAGGGTTGGAACTTTAATAGTGGCAACACAACTAAAAAAATGCTACGCAACAAAACCAAAGAATATTGCGTATACCACACGTAAACTACATACCAACCTTACCTCTCAGCAAAAAGACTCGACCTGCGGCATGCGGAGTGACGCAAAGAACAGATCCTTGTATTAGCTCGCGGTCTAAAGTAAGTGTTGTCAGGATGTTTTCAAAACAAGAACTACAATGTTGGATAAAAATTCAATGTGCCAGAGGTTGTACAGCACGACAGTGTCATCAAGGGCTTCAAGAGGCTTGCGGGGAATCTGCATTGCCTTACAAAACCGTACCAAACTGGGTGAAAGCATTCAATGAATGACGCCAAAACGTGGCAAACATGCTGCGGCCAAGTCGTCCGAGTGTCAGCAATGCAGACGTGCAAACTGTTGCCGCACTAATAGACAGTGATTGCAGCCAAACGATTCGTCAGCTGGCCAGACAAACAGGATTAGCACATACGACTGTGCTGTACATTCTGAAGGAATGCCTGTCCATGAGAAAAATTGCTTCATGATGGGTTCCACATCAATTGACGGAAATGCAGAAATGGCTACGATACGATGCTGCCCGAACCCATCTGGAGCGCTATGAGCGTGAAGGAGATGCTTTTTTATGCCGTATCATTACGCTGGATGAGACTTGGGCCCGATTGTACCAGCCAGAACTGAAATGGCAATCAAACGAATGGCATCATCACGGGTCGCCACGACGTTCGAAATTTCGCCAGAACCCCAGCGATGTTATGGTGATTCTCGTGTACGACTGAGTACGAAAGTTATGGTGATTCTCGTGTATGACTGTGATGGTGTCATCCTAACGCATACCGTTCCCCCACAGCAGACCGTCACTGCGCAGTATTACTGCTCATTTTTGGAGCACAATCTCCGACCAGCTTTGAAAAAAAAAAACGGCGACACTTTCTGCAGAACGCTCCTCTCATTTTGCATGACAATGCTCGGCCGCACGCAGCGCAAGCTGTGACTGATTTTTGTTCAAGCGATGGGGCTGGGAAGTGCTTTACCATCCACCATACTCCCCAGATCTAAGCCCTTGTGACTATGACTTAATTCCTAAGATGAAGGAACCACTTTGTGGCACTCGCTTCCAAACTGTTCCTGAGATTCTTGCGGCAGTAGACCGGTCCATTCAAACTATCAACAAAACAGGCGCTGCTACAGGTATTCTGCGACTTCCACATCGTTGGAAACAGGTTGTACACAGACTATATTGAAGGACTGTAAAACATGGTGACATGAATCACTTTTGTATTCCTTGTAAATAAATAGTTGCCACTATTAAAGTTCCAACCCTCGTATAAGTACTAACTTTTATTCTTTATAAAAAATATTTTCTCAACAAGTATTTTTATTTAAAGAACGTTAACTAAAAAGAAAAAAAGTTAAACTAAACATCATAATACTAGTAATTTTAGATCAGGAAGTAAGCAAGTGCCATATAGGTTTGTGAGAACCTTATTATTAGCTTAAAATTTAACATATTCTTTGACATTGAATATCAGTTTGATTATTTTTTAAATTGTATGTTAATCCCATTTTTCATGTTATGTTAAATTTTATGTTTTAATAATATTTTAGGTGTTAGTCGTAATATCACAATGCTTACCATCCATCAGAGATTTTGTGAATATATTAACAAACAGATACGTTCTTCTGTAATCTGGAAACATTTGGATTCCATGTATGATATGGCAGCATTGGTAAGTACTGTATGTATAATTAACTTTTATATTTGTAGTTTTTTATAAGTATGCAATGATAGGGACGTAGGTAAAGGGAGGCAAGGGGGGACATCTGTCCCTTGGCACCACATTCAATTGGTGCCAAATTGATATTACAAAATTTTAGAATTAAATGTTTTCTATTCTTGACAAGCAGTAGCAGGTAAAAATATAGTTTAGGGTACTTCTTGGCGATTTTTGGCGGTACATGGATACCGATTTTGTGCAATTCTTTGATTCGTTATTTTGGCTTGCGAAGCGATGATTTTTGCGCCAAAAATCGCCACTACACAAAGCCAAAATAACAAGTTCAAACAATTGCACAAACTCGGTATCCATGTACACATCGACTTATTTTCACTTACAAAAAAAAAAAAAAAAAAACCCCGAATTGCACAAAAATGGCATTGCGCACTCCTTTGACTTTATCCATGTACACGTTGACCTATTTTCACTTTTAAAAAAAATCTCTGAATTGCACAAAAATTGCATTGCACACTCTTATAACTTTATCCATGTACACATCGACCTATTTTCACTTTAAAAAAAATCACAAACTTGCATTGCGCACTCCCTTTACTTTGTCCATGTACACATTGATATATATTTTCACTTAAAAAGTCAAAGGAGCATCAAACTCTACAATATAGTCAAACAAAAAATACATAATCTCAATAAAATACATTTTAAACCAAACAATAAAATAACATAAAAAAGGAAAAACATGTTATACATTTAAGCACTACCGAAAGCAAATATTCACTTACCATGATTTTGGAGTTCACTTCGTACTCAAATGACTTTTTTCAAACCAGGTACTCTTTCTGATCGAACGCTTCACATAGTGACCATCTTAACCTTTCTTCCTACAAACCCATTCAAATCCATCTAAACAGTTTTAACACACACCACAAAAACGCTTACAAAACATGATTCAAAATTTTCCAGAGTCATGCACCCGATTACGTCACAATAGGGTTTCCATAACATTCAACTAGTCAGGCTACCATAAATGAAATAACAACTTTGCGATAAATCAAACAACAACTTCGCCATAATACAAGGGGTACCTTAAAGTCTACTCTACCCGCAGTAGCAAAATTCTGATTTCTTATTCTGCCCTTGAAGTTTGTGTATTTAATTTTTTTTTCGTATAGATTTTTTTTTTTTTTTTTTTTTTTTTTTTTTTTTTTTCTCCCCTCTTCCTGTTTAAAATTTGCATGTAAACTGGTATTTGAAGTAGCAAATGGTTAAAAGTTTTAAAATTAAATAGAAGTTGTATTTGAAAAGAATTTTAAGTTCTTAGACAGACTTATTGACTTCGTGTATTAAATAATGTCTCGGCCCTGAGGATTAAAATTCCCAGAACTTCTAAATATTAAATTCATACCTTGTTCCTGGTAGTTCAAAGAATTGGTCTTCTATATTTCTTTTTGATTTTTAGAATATTCTTCATTCTCTTTTAAGAACCTAGTTTCCTCTTCATTCATCTTCAGACTGGCATCTGTTTTCTTAATGAATCTGTGGGATTTGGATTTGTGAAACTTAATGAACTGGCCCGCTTTCCCTTTTTTTTTTTTTAATAATTAAATATATTGCTGAAAAGCCAATAATGTTCTAATTCTATTACAGTAAAATTATCATCACTAAAGCAAATGTGCTGTGAAAATGCAATACTGGGGGGGGGGAAGAAAATCAAACAGTTGGTAACAAGATTTGGATTAATAAATTGGATTGAAGGTAATCAGATTTCACGTTTACAACAGCCGTGTTATTAATATGCTATTGGTGTAAAAAGTTAATATTGGTGAAATTTAGCCAAGAAAACTTCATAGGATAGCTAAAATTTTCATAGCTTGAATCAATAATCTTCATGAATTTTGCATTATTGAAATGAGAAAATAAATAAAGTTCCCTGTACCATCCAAACTGTCTGGAACTCATGTAACAGTTTACTTTAACTTTTAAGTTTCTAGTAGTAATTATCATATTTATTTGATTGCAGTCTGATATTTTCAAAATTTCCACGGTTTCAAAAAGGACAATTGTCTTAGAATCGATAGTGTTAATGCAGTTAGTATGATTATCATACATATTCATCTCTCCCCCCTCCAACATCCAGTTTTAGTACAAGAATCTGAAAAAATTTAAAAAATACTCATGTAATTTCCCTGTTCTTCAAATTTACTGTTTATACATTGTTCCTCAAGTGTGTTTGTTTTAACTAACCAAAAAAAGTGTGTGGAGATTACTCATGAAGGTTGCATCAGACTTCCCCTTTCCTACAATACTAACAATGATTACACATGAAATATAATGGAATATTTACATGAGGTCTTTGCAAGGCACAAGTGGCAGAAGCTGATTTTCTTTGGTGGGTCATTAGTCCTTGCTTCATCATGGAAATTGGTGTACGGACTTTATCTAAATGTTTAACTTTATGCCAAACTAGAAAAAAGAACTGACTAATCACAGTGAAGCAAATTCAAACTGACATACAGTTGACAGCAACAAAAACAGGCGAGATTGAAGGTACACAGAAGTAGAAATAGAAATATGTTATTAGATATTGTTAATATTATTATATATTTTTATTGAAATGCAAGTTTCTTTAAAATAAATAATATTGTAATGGTTACCAGTAGTTTATCCAATGAATATTATTTAATTTGACTTATTGTAATTTTGTTCTTGAAAAGTTAAATTATTTATGTCATTTCCCTCTCTTGTTTTTCATATAATAAAATTAAAAAAAAAAAAAAAAAAAAAGGTGAAACACGAATAAATACGATAATTGTTTATTTTTGCTTTTAGTTTTCTGGGTTAAGCTTATTCAATGTTCGCATAAAATTTAATAGATTGGTAACCTTTTCAAGACTAATAGCTGTGATGGTATGCCATGTAAGAAATCTGTTGTCTGTCCTTTCCCTGAAAAATTAGCAGTGAATTAGCAAACAGATTTGAAAGCTTCAAATCTGTTTGTTGAGTTAATTAAAAGAAGGTGGAAAATAGGATTCTTATTACCCAGATCTTCTGATTTCAACATACCAAAGTCAAATTGTCATATTTTTGCCATATTTTTTAGTATGCATAATGACAATACCCAACCCACATGTGTGCATTTACTCTCTTTAACTTTAGCCACTTTGCTGAGCAGGTAACACTATTGTAAAAGGATAAATATCAATCATATAGATTTCTCCTCCCCCTCATAAAATTTATTTTTTTGTAAAATGCATCTTTTTATTATCATTTCTGAACAAAATATTTCCTTTGACCTTGTAAAAATAATAGAAATGACCCTTAACAGTAGCCAGTTGACACATGGATTTGCTCAAGCTATAATTCCACTGGCAGTAAAAGTGTATATATCAGTCATTGCTTCTTTTATTATTATTTATGAACAGAATAATCCTGTGAGCCTTAAAGATAGTCAAATGAACCCTTTTTTTAACGATTTCTTAAAGTTGCCAGTGAATAGCCTCTTTTTCATGAATATGCAAATATTTTTTTCTCTTGCAAATGTTTTCTGTTTTTAGGATAGTGTTTTTGTGTAAATTTAATAGTTATATGAGATCTTTCAGTCAAATTTCCATATTTATGTTAAATTGAATGGTATTTCTTTGCTTGTTAAAGTGGTCATACATATCACCATAATGGGCAAACTAATCACCTAACATGCAATGTGAAAATTACGAAATGTCACTACAGACATATGCAGTGCCTATTTTAATGAGGAAGTACCAATTAGAATACCAATAATTCAAGTTTGTCCATATGCTGGACTTTTTCCGAAGCTAGCGATTAAAATGCACATTTTCAGAACTCATCATAAGAACTTAGGTTGTCTTTACTTGATAAGTGACTTGAGTGCTAAGTAGAAATTTGTTATCATGCAAAATTTCATAATGTTCATGTTTTCTTTCTTATAATTGAACTACAAGCAATGTAATATTTTGTGTCTTGAAGTAAAATATTGTGTCTAAGAATCAATTTTCCAAATTAGATCTGTTTATATAAAAAGTTGAAGCTGGAGCAGTATTGCTTGAAATGTTGTACATTCTACTAAGACAGTAATCACTCACAGCCATTTTCTCATCAAAGTTGGGTAGCTTTGTTGATGCAGTCAAGGCCACCACTAAATATTTTGCTAACGAGGTGCAATCTCATGTACCCCCAATTTTTTCTCTGTTACCCCCCTGGATGCAGTAATATAAGAGATATAATATGAACAGTCTGTTATAATTATTAAAGTAGTTTAATTCACTAGCAGTGAATTGTCTTTATCATTCTATGCAAGATCTTTATTCTCTATGTGGTGTGGCTATTAGCCATTTTCAACATTATTGTCATTTGATAAGACATGAGATTTCTTCATATAACTGTTGCTTATGAAACTGGGTGCTTTAAAATCAGTAAACATGCTTCTTAATAATTTAAATGTTTATTATTCAATATCATATCAAACTGACAGAATTTAAAACACATCTAATTTATATTATATACCTGGGTACAGAATCATTTAATTTTATTGTATGAAGAAATAAGTGGTGTTTGGAGGTTTAAAACATAGTTTAGTGCAAATTTTCATTTCATATCACCATTTCCACTATTATAAATTTATATGGCATTTAAAAAATATCAATTGTATATTGCAGGCACATAAATTAATCATTAACTTAACACGTTTTGGAAAGTCTGAAACAAATGGAACTTTGTTGAGAAATGATAATAATAGTTTTACATAGAATAATGTGTCAAGTTTTCATAGCAAACTTCAGTAGCCTATCTGATATATTTATATTTCCAAGCTGATATGAATGTATTTAAACTTTATAATACTATATAATCATAATATTTCCTGGAGTATTGATTTGAATTTTAACATTCTTGTCTGATTCTTTAATTTTTAGGTAAAATATAAAAAATTTTCAGCCATAAAGACACATTCAATAAAACTTCCCAGAATGGCATAATGTAAAAGAAAAAATGCATAAACGCTTTATATGGTTAGCATTATGTTGAAATATTATTAAATGAAGTATTTATGTATGTTTATAAAATGATTTTATGAATTTTATCATTTAAAGTTTTTATTGTTGGAGAAATGTATTTCAGTGCTTTTCTTGTACATTTTTCACGCAGATGTAACAGCTAGTTTGGTATTTATGTATTAATGCAACCACCTTAGTAGAAGTCGCCAAATTTTCAGAATGTTCCAAACTTTAGTAATTATACACATAGCCTTTCTTTTGGTAAACATGCTCATAACAGTCCTTCATTCAGGCAGTGCCGCCATTTTTGTATGAATTCTTTTTTGTTGTAATCAAGTTCCAAGGATTTTAAAACAAATCATTATATTTACTGTCTTAAACTTAATTTTAAACTTTGAGCTTATGGAATTTGCCAGCAGTGGAAGAAACTGCATTAAAATTTTCGCAGGAATGCATAATTTTGCTGAAAAGTTTCTAAAAAGAACAATGAGGAAATGTGTTTCCTTTATAGCTACTGTTGCTGAGGATTGCATGAAGGTGAGTCTGTAATTCTTTAATTTTTTTTAATAAAAACAGATCACTATGCACTTTGGGAGAAGAATAGTGCAAACAATTTAAAAAGAATAAGTGTTTTTTTTTAATGTATTATTTAATCCTCATTTAATAATTCAAATTTATATTTTAAATTATTAAAGTATGCTTTCTTTGCATGTGTTGATAATGTGTACTGACTTACAAAAAATATTGATAATCTAGCTATCTTTCTAAAAAAAGGCATGAAAACCACCAACTTGCACCCGATAAGTAACTTTCTTCTTTTCATTTGTAAAAAAATTTGCAAATTGCTCCAAAGTGGTTGCATTAATACCTAAGTACTGTTAGTTTTCTATAATTTCACATTTATGTTTATTTTTATTATTTTAGCATGAATCAGAAATTATACCATTTCCAAATGATGAAGTAGAATATGATTTACCTGAAGAATTTGATGAAATTGCAATAAGTAAATTTGGAGTTCCCATCCATAGCACAGTTGATGAAAATGAAAAGTCCAAGAATGTTAATTCAAAGACATCTAAAAAAATAAATGTTTCAAAGCCAAAGCAAAGTCCTACACCCACTTCAGTTTCTAAAAACAGCTTTGTGACACCCACATCTAAAGTAGTTAAAAATCCTGCTGGTAGGAGTGAACCCAAACCATTAAATGTGGAAAACAATTCTAAAGTGAAAATAGAAAATACATTACCAGTTAAAATGAATAAAGTGAAAAGATCATCAAGTCCTTTTACCAAAAATATAAAACTAGAACTCTCTCCTTTAGCTAAAGAAGAGTCACCTGACATTTCTGGGACCAAAAAACCGAACAAATTAGAAAGGAGTAGCAGCCCTGCAACTTCTAAGAAAACAGTAAAAGCCGAAGTAAGCACCACAAATAGTTCAAAAAAGCCACTTAAATCAGAACAAAGCACTAATTCTGCGAAATTAAGCAAACTAGAAACATCTGATAGCTTGATTAAAAAAGTTAAAACTGAAAAAGATATTTTAAGTAAGAAAGGAAAAGTTTCCGTTTCAAGTGAAAGTCCTGTTAATAAGAAAAATCTCAAATTAGATAGTTCAAATAGCGTTAAAAAGAAACTTGAAACAGAGAGTTCATCAAAGAAGTCAAGTGATTCTTCTTCTAGTAAGCAACCCAAACCAGAGAAAGTTTCGAATGTCACAAGCAAAGGGTTAAAGCTGGATGATGTAGAATCCTCATCTACTTCAGGTAATTATTCAAGTCATTTTTATATTTTATTAAGTTTAAATATAGTTAAAAAAGTGGAAGTTATAACCATATTTCTCTTTAAATAACTCTTGCATGCATATGGGTCCATAATAAATTGAATGCACACAGCTCTGATGATAGGTTGATAAAATTTATTCTTATCGAATGAAACATTTCAGAGATCTAGAACTGTCCACAAAAATAGTTGTACAATTCTTCACAGTATTACAGAGTACAATCAGTAGTTACACTTCAAAATACTATGAATGTTAAACATAATGCAGTGCAAAGCACAGATATAGAGAAAGCTGCACAGAGATGTGTGTACTCAACTCATGCTGAGCTAACAGATAACTCTCGCCAGCCTTATATTATAGTTTTCACCCAGCTGCTAGATATTTCTAATACTTTCTGCTTCTCGAAATTATTGGAAGACAATATGAGTGTTGAATTACGGTTACAGGTAATACAGTGGTCAGATACATTTATTCAATTGCAATGCCTATTACAGTGATACAGGGATTGGACAAAAATGTTGCCAAAATCGATATTTTTGAAGAATTTCACAATTTTAATTTTTTTAGCATACAGTTTGAGTTACTGTCTCAACTTCTTCACAATTACATACATCTCTGATTTGTATATTAAGAAGAATCTTCTTCCATAATTGAACCAGTGTTACAGATTTTATTTTCAATCAGGCTTTTGCTGCTTATGTATATATATAACATCCAGTACAGTCAATTTTTCCAGAACTTAATTTAAATCATCATCATCTTCAGCAAGAGTCAAAAGAAGACAATACCATGTATGGATACCACTACATATGGATCATCGAGAGTACTGCTGATTCTCCTGAAATTATTCCCCCGTCCATTAGAGTCTTTTTAACCCTCTGAGCGTTACGAGTTTAGCCCTGAAATTTCAAAGTTCCTCAAAATGTCATGAATAAGTGATATTTTCTTGATTTTAATTAAAAAATGACTCTTTCATTTTGTACCTTGATTCCTTTTCTTCCAATATACATCCAAACTGAAATCAGATACATTAAAAGCTAGCAGAAATTTTCATGTACGAGGGTAAGTTGAAAAATAAGTTTCCCCTGTCAACTGTGGTCAGAGTTGTGTATGAAAGTCAAAAAATAGAATGAGACATTAAAGATACGACATACCTTTATTTTTCCACATAGGTACCAAGTACATTGAGACATTTGTCATATCGCTTGATAAGCTTCAAAAAGCCCTTCAGGAAAAAATCAGGGCTCTGCATATGGAAGAAGCGTTGAACGGCTTGTTTCACTTCAGTATTGCTTCCAAAGCGCCTTCCCCCGAGATTTTTCTTCAAAGCCGGAAACAGATGGAAGTCGCTTGGTGCGAGATCAGGACTGTATGGCGGATGGTGTAGGCGCTCCCAACCAAGAGTTGCAATATGGTTTTGCGTTGCCGTCGCCGAAATTGGTCTGGCATTGTCATCCAACAGCAGAACACCAGATGTGAGAAGGCCAGGCTGCTTTTTCCGAATCGCCTCTTTCAATTTCGACAGGGTGTCACAGTAGCGCGTAGCATTGATGGTTCCAACCTCCAAAAAGTCCAGCAACAAAACTCCTTGGGCATCCCAGAAAACTGTGAGGAGCACTTTACCTGCAGAGGGAGTTGTCTTGATCTTCTTTCGGACAGGTGATGATGGATGTTTCCACTCCATAGAAGCGGCCTTCGATTCTTGGAGGACTTTTTGAAGCTTATCAAGCGATATGACAAATGTCTCAACGTACTCGTACGAGAATAATAAAATAAAGGTATGTCATATCTTTAATGTCTCATTTTATTTTTTGACTTTCATACACAACTCTGACCACAGTCGACAGGGGAAACTTATTTTTCAACTTACCTACGTATAATGAATGTGGAAGGCAACCTTCTGTATGGAATTTTCCGGCCATAACGCTGAGAGGGTTCAAGAATTTTGTGGAAGGACTGGCTAAGATATTCACTAAGCCGCTGAGACACACTGCAATCATATAAAAAGGCATGCTACGAAGAATAAAATATCTTATTCCTATTGTTTGGTCTGCTCCCTATATTACCATAATAGGTATTGTAATTGAATAAATGTAATTGACCACTCTATTAGCTGTAACCATAATTCAACCTTCATATTGCATCCAATTTCTTTGGAGACGGGTAAAAACTATACAAGGCCAGTAAGAGCGTCTACTCTCAGTCAGATATCATGTCTTTAGCTGTGCTTTGCATTGTGTTCTATTTAGCTTTCATCTTAGTTTGAAGTGTAACTTTTGATTGTATTCTGTGATATTGTGATGAGTCCCCTTCCCAAGGACTGCACGTCCTGGGCAGTACAATTCCTGGATAGGAAGCCATACTTAAACCAAGCAAATCAATGTAATACTAAAACAAAAATTTCAATAAATCAGTGCATAAACTTAAAAATTCTGAAACAAATACAACCATGGTCTTATCCTATTTATATTATACACACTATGGTGACTCTGTACTATAATCATATTAGGGGGCTAACCTGTCGTAATGGATGACTTTAGGCTTATAATTTGATGACTTATGGATCTGGATTATGATGTCGTTCAAACTGTTTAGGACTTTGGTAAGGACTATCCCAGGGTGATTGTAGTTAGAAGAGAGTCCTGTCGAATCGAATTACACAACCATACCTTGTCTCCTTCATTGAATTAGTGTCCTGCAGCTTTCGTGTCGTATTGGGTCTTCAAACTGACTCGTATTCATGCAAAATTATGCATCACGTTAAAAAGTGCCTGGAGATCTTGGATGTACTCCTCAGGCAATGAAGATGCATCCGGAAGGTGACCGAATTGAAATTGAATGATGGCTGTGGCAGTAGAAGTAACCACTCCACCCCTGTAATTAGTATGTATGTACATAAAAAAAAGTTTGCTCGCCTCCGCCCAACAGAATTCTTAAATTAAAAGACATACAAGGGCAAAAGAAGAAGAGGATAAGCACTTATAGACAGCTTTGATGATGTGAGTGAAATGATAGCAATTTGGCCTGGGTCACTCAGGAGGCAGCAACAACCAGGGTTGCCAGATGTACACATGGATGTTCTTTTGTAAAAAAAACGAGGTCATTTGACAAATAAGGTTATGCTCTTTTCAGTGATTAAGTTTTATGATGTCATTTATCAAAACTGCCGAAAAGAAGACACAGATGGAAGGTTGTTTTTGAGCAGATTTGAGTTAGTGGTACAGCATGCTGAAAGATTTCTTATCAGAAGAGTAATCCTTGTTGTACCCCTGAAGTATGGTAAAGATTATGTTATTGCAATAGGCCAACACTCTGCACCATACTGCATATAACTGAAATTCTCACATTGAAGAAATTAAGTGGAGATAATTAAGAAAACATGTATATGCAAAATTGTACCTTCAAGTCCTTGTTCAGCAAGGTTTTACTGTATCTTTTCAATGAAAACAATGCCATGGAAGTTTATATCATATCTGATGCATTTTAGCTATCTTTTAAATAATGAATATTTTTCAAGAAGTTAAATAAGTCTGATGTGGGCATTGTACAGCCTATTAAATTATACTCATCAACATTTAAAATATTGTCAAAAAAAGGCATATGCTAGGAGAGTCATGTTTTGTTTGTTGCAGTAATGATGAAAGCCTTTGCACTTTCAATTTCAAAATATTCCTCACCCACAAAATTATGTGATAGGTCTGTTAATTTTACCATTGAAAATGTATTGAGTTACTACACTTAGCTGTATGTATTTCTGAAAATTGTGTAATGCATTTTTTTCCAACTGTTAGTTTCTTGGAAATATATACACACCTTTCTGCCAAGTTTCCTGTCCATTGTTAATAGGATTTGCATGAATATATATATGAATGCTTCATTAATAAAAAGTGATAATACCCTAGATTCTGTTTTATTTTTTTCTTGTCTCTGTTATTGTTAAATTTCCATTCATATCACATTCAAATCTAGTTTGGTTGATATTGAATAAATATCATGTATGTTTTGATATATTTCTGCACTTCTTGCATGTTGGAAATCATCTGCTTGTTTGTGAAGTGTGTTTCATCACATCAATACGTGATAAACTTTATTGTCTGACATAACAGTATTTTGTGCTGTAAGTTAAACACCACCATAAAGGATTGCCAGACTTTGTAATTGATATTCCAACAGCTCTCTTCCACTTTTAAATAAGGTCTCTAAGCAATTTCTTTGTTGCACATGTCTAATCATCAAAGTGATTGCGAAGTTTAGAACAGTCAAAAGTCGTTAATCCGGACTCTTCGGGACTTCGGCAGTTCCGGATTATAGATCATCAGTTTAAATCGTGTAAGATGGCATGCAGAAATTCTAAAATTAAAAATATGAAACCGTAATTTATGAAATAAAGAACAATTATGATCTAAAGGGTATCAAAATTTACAAAAACAAGCTTAATATTTATTTGTTTACTTTATTAAACATTTCTTTCAATGCAAGTTGTTTAAGTTGCTTCATTTTATGTGATAATACTTTCTCTTTAATTATATAAACAGACATTTTTTTGTTCAGTTACAAAGTTCCGCTGTTTAAGTCCCGTTAATTGCTGTGCCGAGAATACTGACTAACTTGTCAATCGAAATTTTTTCGTTTTCACTAACCTCTCTGTCACATTCTTCATGTCTTTATCCATTTTTTGCAGCAATTCCACTTTTTGTTTGATGGACGTCGAAACATACTTTCGTTTTGTACGATCCTTTGGGAGCTCCAGATTCGGAAATTCTATTTGACATCGAAAGTTCAAGTTTACTTTTATGGTATTGCTCTTACAGTCTGCAAAAAATAATAAGCCAGATCCAATTCGAAAATTAAAGAACAACGCAATCATCAACATTAACTGAAATAGAAAATTTTAGCTTATACCGTTCGTTATACATAAAACGCGCACGCGAAAATGTATTCTGCGCTTGCGCACACACAAATGCGCAGTCGTAAGAGGTCTTATGCGCACGCGTAAACACCTATGCGCATGTGTCAACGCGGCGCTTGCGCAGAAAGATTTTAGCTTTGAGGTCCGGATTATAGATCATTCCGGATTATGGGTGTCCGAATTAACGACTTTTGACTGTATTCGTATTGTCATTATATTTCATTTGTGCCCGGCTGCAGTCATCCAAACCTTTGGAAAGGTCTGATCCTGGAACCGTGTTTTAAATCATATCTTCTTCTCACTGCTAATCCATGGATGCGAGAACAACAGCTTCATTTGTGTCATGTATTTCTTCATGGATGTATTCATGCACCTTCCATAGAAATCAAATGCATTAATCATTCTGAATCAAATTTTCATTGCTATTAAACATTTTTGGCCACGTAAATACCTGCTCATCTTTCTACTCATCATGAATGTAGTGTACCAAAACTACACCTGTTTTCATGACATGCATTGCCATTACAAACGTTTGCAAGATAGAAATGAATTTCAGCTAATTAACATGCCTTTCAGAGCAGAAACCTGGTCATTCTATACAATTCAACCATATGATTGTTTCCTTAAGCACAGCCTTTGTACAACTGTTATTGGTAAAGAGTGACTGAAGGAAAGTCTCATCTATGTGACTGTGCTGAACTCTTCAGTAAATTATAATGATAGAGAGAATAGTGCAGCTTTCTGAAATCTAGTACACTACCTATTAAATCGTCCTTTTGTGTGTGGATTGTGGATGCTAGTTGAAAAATTTTTTGCATTAAAATAAAAAAAGACCTTCTATACTCAGTAGCAATATCATCCTGGTGTCTTTTCCTGGTGAAAGAATGTGTTGGCTGCATGAGATTCTTATGATTTTCTCTGTCTGTAATATAAACACAAGTCATTTTACCTTAGATACCTTCCTCAAGGGCATTCTTATTATTTTCATAAGGCTGATAGCTTTTGTGTGTTGTGCTATAATTAACATAATTAAATTGGATCATGCAGTGGGTAAGATAAAATGCAGATTTAGTAAATTGTCCTCAGATTTAATGGAAATGTTTAAAGAATAAAGTAGTTTTTATTGATGATATGTGGTGCCATTTGGGATAAGAAGGAAGTTGGGAAATGTTATATACGAAACTGATTTTTAACTTGTTTTTAATAATATCTTTATGATATGTGAAATCACTTCATCCTTATTTCCATCCATGTTTTATTTTCTTAATAATACTCTTATTTTAATCTGATGACATATGTAGGTTCCAGAAAATCATCTCCTGTTGTGAAATCAGAATCAAATGAAGTGAAGAAGAGGAAGCGACAGAAGACAGAAGAAGCATCAAAGAAAACAACACCTGCTGCAAAAAGAAGACGGACTTGAATAATTTTTGGAAACTGTGATAAACTTGACTGATTTTGCTATATCATCTTTTTTTTTTAATCATCATTTGAACCATTTTCTTAATCTTTCATATAGGATATAAAAAGATGTAAGTTCTCAATAAAAAGATACCACATCTCACAAAATGTCAGATTGATTGGAGCTATAATTTTGCTTCTTAACATATATGAAGAAACATATATGTTAACCCATCATTTTGGTGTTTATAAATTATTTTTAGGCTACACGTTGACTTTGAAAATAGCTAAATGTTTGGTTAAATCATAATTTCTAGCAAATTTACTTCTTGTAAATCTTTAGTAGATACCTGAGAATGCCCAGACATTTATATAATATATTTATTATTTGCATTTTAAATGAATTTATTACTTATTTTGTTTTGACATTTTCTGGAACAACTTGGAAAAAAGATGCTTTAGTGCAGATTTTGTGTTTTTTTAAGATTGCTTTTATGTCTAATTTGATATTTTACACTGCTGTTTTTCTCTAACAATGAATAAAAGCTTTCAAAATTTAATCAATTTTAATTGTTTAACAAAGAGTTATTTAAAATTAGTAAATGCATTTTTTAATAATTAAAATCTTTATTTTTGATAACATATCTAATTCAGTATAAATTAAAATACATTTAATGTATAATATATCCAACCACAATTTTTATAAGCAGATATATTGTAATTAGTAAAAGATATTTCTAACATCATATACTATGTACCTGTTTCAGAATCTTCTTTTTGATTTAAAGTTAGATATGCACTAAGCAAACTTCTATAGTATTTAAAAAGAAAAAATAAATATAGTCTCCTCAATATTAAGTCCCCCACCCCCCAAAAAAATGGCAGACCTTCAGCCGACTTTGGTTTGGCCACAACTAAGGCTAGAAATGGTGGTCACTTTATTATGGATGCACCTAATAGGTGGTCCTCTTTGACTTGTGTGAAGGGATGGACAGTTACAACCATGTCTTCTCCAGGATTCGAACCCAGGTCCTTTGGTATTGCAATCAGCTGCCTTTACCACTCTGCCGTCTGGCCGGCACCTCAATATTAAATTTAAAGTGTGAATTTTAGTCATATTTTTGATCCTTGAAACTTGACATTTTACTCAATCTACTACATTTGTATATTTGGAGTGATGCATTATTGATTGCCATAATTAAATGAGAAAAAATGTTAATTTTTTATAATTATGCATTAGTAGTTATAAAATAATGAAAGATGGAAAGTTTAATTATTGTGATAATTATTCAAATAAGATGGGATAACAAAGTATTTTACAAGAATAAATATCAAAATTATAGCAGCAGACATCTTCCATAACTGATAATGCATAGTTGTTATATTATTTAATGTAACAAATTTGCATTTTTATTCCTTTCTGTATGTATCTTTTTATTGTACATCTGTAAAGTTATCGTACTTTTGAGGTATAATAAAAATATTAATTTCATTTTAATGTAAATTTTAAATTAAGCATTTTATAATTGCAATAATGGAGAAGTGAAATATTTTTACAGAAAAAATTTAAGTATGTCAAATGTAATAACTACTGTTAATTTTTAATGATTAAATATGAAATTTACATACTGTATTCCATGTAAAAAATGTAACATTTTAAATAAATCTAGTAGTATGCAGTTTTTCGTTCAACATTATGTTTAAGCTTTCATTTCTCTTAAAAAGGGGGAAAAAAAATCTCTTAAAAAAAAAAAAAAAAAAAAAAAAAGGGAATAGCAAAATTATACATGTATTATCAGACAATTAAACATACATGACATTAAAACATTTTTACAGCACAAAACCACATCTGAACTCTGCACAACCACTAAGATATCTTCAATGTAATGTGATGATTTTTGGTAACCTGGTATCCTCATTTTAAACCTTCAAGCAAGTGACCTTCTTCTATTGATAATTGTTTTTGTAATTATCATCAAATGAATATTTTGCTGAATGTACTAAACTTCTATAAATAACTGAGGAACGTCTACTGTTTGAATTTAACCCATTTATGCCAAAGGTTAAAAAATTGGAATTTTTGCATGAAATTTCTATATGTTAGGTAAAAAAATATAATAAACAATGATTTGAAGAAGAAATTTTTTTATTTTAATTAGTTTACAAGTTATATAGTGTTCCAAAAATGGAACACTAGGCAAAACCATTGCTATAATGTTACAATGTATAAAATCGTGGGTTTCCTCTAAAAATGTGGTTATTCCCATTATTCGGTATGGTAATTGGAAGAACACTTAACATGTAAAGCCACATTATATTTTCCACATCGAAAAGTGGTGTTTTTATGACATTGAGCACAGCAAGTTTGCTTTCCTTGCTTTACGATCCTATGATTTATGCCATCATAGCGTGAATCAATGTTTCGCTTCTGAGAGGGTTTTCCTTTCCTGCCAGGTTCTGCAGGATGACCATGAGTCTCAAGATAATGGCATGCTACATGATGACGAAATTCTAAAAGATCCATTGATTTTGCATCATAAGTTTTGTGTAATTTCCAAGCATTCTGTAAGGCCAATTCGAAACAAAACAACAATGGACAATGGAACAATACCATTTCTTTCCACGAATTGATGCTCTATATTTGTCAATGTTTTCGTCTGCTCTATCCACACCTCCCATAAATTGGTTATATACTTTTATCATGTTTGGCTGCTGAACTTGGATTTTCTTTTTTTGTTCTTGTGAATAACGATTTACAAGACACAGTGGATTTACACCAGCACCAGATGATGCAACAGTCACAACACTGTTGTCATGCCATCTACAGACAATATTGCCTTTGCCATCAACTCGATAACCGAATGAGCCTCTTTCCATTTTCTTTAGGGCAACATCCGATTGCAATGGTGGTTTATCAATACGACCTTTTCTAACTGTGCCTATGTTGCCTGATGACCCATTGAACCAAGTTTATCAAGCAGGGCAATACTTGTGAAAAAAATTATCAAAAACAAAATGATATTGCCCAGGGTGCTCCTCTGTTAGTGCATCTGTAAACCATAAGACAACAGAAGCACCAACACCATACTCCTCATATTTGTTTGCCAGATTTTTACCTTGATAGGGTTCGAACTAACAAATGTAACCTAGATGAGTTGCCGCACACCAAAATTTGTATCCAAAACGAATAGGCTTTCCTCTTATAAATTGTTTGCATCCGTGTCGACCAAAGTAAGGAACCATGGATTCATCAATGCTGAAATGTGTTTCATTCGGAACAAACTTCATGCACAGCTCATTTAGTTTGTTTATAAGAGGTCGTAATTTAGCAAACTTGTCAAGTGGGTCTAAATTTGCATTGTCTGCAACATGGAGATTTGAAAATATTGTTTCAAAGCAGTCACGTCTCATGGCAATACTAACAAGGGCATTTTGTGAATCGGTTCTTTGTTCCCAGAACATGCGCCGTCTAGGAACTGAGACATATCCACTCAGAAATATAATCCCCAGGAAACATTTCAATTCAGAGTTTGTCAAGCTTAGGTTTACACCCTTAGTTGAAGCATATAAATTTGAGTATGTTACAATGAGTTCCATGACATCGTCATTTAGGAAAAGTTCAAAATGTTCTGTAGGAGTTCTTACTTTGGTAATTGGTAACTGAGTAATTCTTCCTGATATGGGTTGGACATTTAGATCTGCTTTTTCCCATTTTCGTACAACTTTTTCGAGCTTTTTCTTTGTTAGAGGTGATTGTTGCAAAGTAGAAGAAGTCGATGGAACCCCATCTGCAGGAGAATCAAATTTAGGGAAATATGAAGGATCATCTGGGTCAGAGTCAGCATCAAAAGAACCATCCCGAACAAGATAAGCAGGTGCGCGCAGCAAAGAACCAGGCGGCTTATTTATTGGTTCCCCATCTTCCTCACCGGAGTCCTCATCAGAAACAGACGCTGTAGCATTTTCAGGTGGTTCTATGATTATGGCACTTGCTTCTATGTTGTCACACGTCTCTAAAAGATCAGTTAACTCATGTAAGGCTATTTCGGACATCTTGTGTCTTGGTCTTGGAAAATTATTTCAACTAAAAAAATATGAAGAGAAAATATATGCGTTCTTGTGGTAGTGGTTTTGCCTAGTGTTCCAAAATGGAACACTGGAAATTTCAAGCCTATAACTAATTCAAAATAATTTTTCTATTTCTTTTTGCAGTAATAAAGAGTAACTAATCGAAGTCAAAACAAAATCAGCGATTCACAAATTTCAGGATGTTCGAGGTTTTACCGACCATCACTTCGCTGCAAACGCAAAGAAAAATAGGAAAATGATTAGATAAGATAAGAAAGCTGGACAAGAATAGCAAGTGGCGCATCTGTTGGCGAAACCATAACTAAAACATAATTTCTCGAAAAGCCGAAGGCAAATTTGGATTGGAATTAGGATCGTTAACTAGAACAGAAAGATTTTTATGAATGTGAAATGCCTCTAGAAAATCCAGTTCTCCAATGGAAGATGTTTTTTGAATTAATTTTGGCAGCCGAAAAATTGAAAGTGTGATTTTCAGACCAACAATGTTGAGCGACAGAAGACTTCTGGTGTTTCCTTTTTTCTAACATATGCCTCATGTTCTTTGACGCGAAATTTTAAGGCTCTCTTAGTTTGACCAATGTAAATTAAACCACACTGGAGTGTTTTACAAAAGAGTAACTAATTGAATAATAACACAATTTTTTTTACAATTTTAAAGTATAATGCAACAGAGTTATAGTTATCTGTTTATAGATGAATCTACAAAAACCTCGACGAAAATGAAGACCAAAATTTCACATCACAGCAGCCAAATATCTGCAGGAGTGACAAACTTTGTGTTCTAAGCAAAACCATATGCCCTTACAAACTGGCTGACATCACAAATCAAACTGTATGGTGTCTCTTCATGAGTCATCATTTCTCAAGTTGATTTCGTTTTCAGGAAACAGGTTGGGAGAGCATTAGAATTTCAAATCAAAACTTCAAGATTTCACAGAACATAGAAATAACATTTATTAACGATAAACTTAATGATATAGTATATTACTTCCGCCTATAGCGGCCATGAAAAACATAATCAAACATCAAAAAAAGGTATGACATGCGTCATTCTTCAAGTGGAATATTTTTCATCGGCGCGCATCAAGAGCGCCACCTATCTACCGAAAAGACGGAACATACTCCGCCCTGATGAACGTTGGTTCATTACAACATATTATAAAGATCTTCAATTTAGATTAAAAAGTTTCCCAAAATTCAACAGTATATCATATAAAATAAAAATACATAATGACAAATTTAAATTGAAT